ATTGCAAAGTTTATACAAAAACAGTCGTATCAACAACCACCACAATTTAATGCAATGTATGATGCCGAGCAGCGAATGAAAGAAATCATAGAAGCGCCACAGCTGAGCGCAGTGGAAAAAGGCAAGTTATATTCTGATCAGCTAAACCGGTTTCTGACATTCAAAAATAAGATGGATGTCCCGGCTCAAGCCCCTGTTCAGAAAACTCCACTAGTGTCTGCAGAAATACCACCACAAGTACCTCCTATTTCTGTACCAACGGAAATACCATCACCAATACCTGCCACTCCTAAACCTAATTTCCTTACACAGCCACAAACAGAAGAGGAACGACCAAAACTCAAGCGCAACTTTTTTCACAATTGGGTAGATTCTGCTGATTGGAAAGAAAGTGATCTGGCTATGATGAAACCGAAGGAAAGAGAGCGCTATGAACGTTTTTTACTAAACGAAAGACCGAAATATATTCCAATGAAACATGAAGATGTTGCACGATTATCACCTGAAGATAGACAAGAATATGAGAACTCTTTAAAAATAACAAAAACACCTAAACGTTATGCTCTGAGAAGTAGACCGTACTAAATTTTGTAAAACGTTTTGAAGAAATAAATGCAATTTTAAAACTGAAATCTTGTGTAAATTTTTGCACGCAAAGCCCGATTTTTCCTATCCGCGCAACCCGCCCGCCTGAGTACAACTATGTCGTACATTAATATATGCATGCACCCAAGCGCCGCTAATGACCGACAATACATAACAACGTATATAGCAACCGCACATTTGAGTTAATTTTTTATGACAAAATATATTACAACTGCTCTAAAAGTTTTTTTCCCACAGAATCAAAATGTACCATTTTTCGTAGTCGAAGAGGTAGTAACTTTACCGTGTAGACATGAACCAAGCGTTGTCAACTAAAGACTATGCTTCGAACGGACCGGCTTCGAGCGAAACTCCGAGCTATTTAGATTATATGCTTAGCTGTAAGCTTTCAAAGTTTCCGGTTATTTTGAATTAGGCTCCGAAATACATATACATTTTTCCGCGAAAAAGAACGCCTGTTTTTAAATCTTGCGAGCTGTGCTTGAACCAACGACCTAAGGAACTACAGTCCTCCGCTCTACAAACTGAGCTATCGCAAGAGCAGGTTTTAATCACCCCAAGAAAACCAAAAAAAACAAACAATCTAGACCAGGCCTGCCCGCGTTAATTGGTCGCGCTACCTGCCACATTTGGCCCAGGCCTGTCCGCGTTAATTGGTCGCGCTACCTGTCACAGTTGGCCGAGGGTTAGGGCCGGCAATGTTGCGTCACATATTTTGCATACTAATTACTTCCGACACCTAAATTTGCATACTAATTACTTCCGCCGCCAGAGTGGGGGTATTACTACTTAGATGATACTGTCAAAAATGTATATGCTTATACTCTGGCTGAGAGAGCCAGTGTTATATAATGGGGTTTTCCGTCTTCGACGTTCTGTTTTATGCTTTTCCTTGACACGGACGTTACATTTCATAAAAGCATCGCAAGCTGGGTGTAGATTGTTCCACTGACCTATGCAATTCAGTTTCAAAATGGAGGCCAATCGTGTTTCAAGAAATTGCTTTAACTCTTCAGCGAATTGTTGGTCTTTTATATGGATTGTGTGTCGTGTCGAACTCTGTGCTTTTTTGGAGTTTAATTAATGTCTTTTTGTTTGTGAAACGTTTCTGAATATCGAAAATTTGAATTGCTAGATTCCCGTGAACTCGTGAAGTGAACGTGAATCATGATTTAATTATAACTTGGAAAGTTCTTTGCAAAAGTACACGATTCAAATGATTCTGTAATGACTTTAGTACGACTGTATGCACGATTCTGCCACTCTTCGATATATCAATTTAAATTAAGTATTTTCATTAACAAAACTCTAATTGAAGACTTGCTAGAACCAAAAAGAATAAAAGCGTAAGAACTGGAACTCGTGTAATATGTATTAAATTAATGTATATGACATGAGTAAACTCAATTTGTATATGACGTGAATCAGTATAAGATAAACTATATACATTACAGTCCTCTGAAATAAAACAATGATACTCATGTTAATTTGTTAAAGAAAACATCACAAAAACGTTTACAATATTTAAACCTATTTGTAGCGGGGTATTTTCATGTTGATGTGACGGGGGTGAGCTGATAGGGCGCACCCCTCAGAAATTCTGTCGATTGACTGGCATTATCCTATAAATTTTATTTTTAGTAAGTTTTATCTTTCTTTAACCTAAAAATAACAAATAAGTTTAATTTTACATCCAAAATGCTTTTTTTTTTGCACCATTGGATGAAACTCTAGCTCTTTTTGTTAGCATAACTTCTTTAGAATAAACCGAATAAGTTGATCTGAACTCTGAAGTCGATCAACAAAAGTTTGTAAAAAAAATACGAAATGCATGGCGACCATGTTTTTATACCAATATACTATGTGTTACATGAAGTGTACCACAGGTGAGCTCCGAGCCTGCAGTATGGTTTTGAAAACACAATATTCACTTTGAAACTACAATATTCGCCAGTATTTCATGCGAAATATTTTATGCAAATTCGTAAATTTGTCGTATCAAAGACCGTTCATATACTCTGCAATATATCATGGTTCCTACATGTTTTGTGTTTCCTAAGGACAAGAAGATGTTATGCCTTGAAGGTACAAAGAAATATGTGTATTTGTGTATATAAAAATATTATAAATAAGCATTTTATATTATATAAGTATTTTGTAGTATACTATATTACATGTTATACGATATTTTACTATATTATATAACACATATTGGATACTGTTTTACTTTGCAAATCATGTGTAATAATCCATCTTTATATATGTTCTCTAATTATATTATGTTATTTATGTCCTGGGAAGTGATTCAGCCAAAAAATACTGTCCAACCCACATTTTCCCATTTTTTGCCCCGACACTTTGTTTGACAAATGTCGGCAAACGTCCGGAAAACGATGAATTTTCAGAAAAATTTTTTCACAGTCATGACGGCAGAGGAAAAATATTAAAAATCATGAAAGCACAGGCAAATGGGATCATTTGTTGAGGAATGACGGATAAATATTTATTGAGTACGCTCATTGTGCGCACCCCCCGGTACAAATAGGGTTAAATTTGCTACAAACTTTTATTTTCTTACTGGCGGATCGTTAAAATAGAAAAGAAAACATGCATACCAGTAAAACCTTTTTTGAAAAAGATCCATACAACCCTAAGGTAGCAGATAATATATATGTCAGAAAAAGAAAGCTACACATGCATGTATACGGTAAGAGAACGGGAAAATTTCCAATGCGTGGGGAAACTTTCACTTCTCCACATCTCTTCAATTTCCTAATGGTTCGTCCAATACCTCGCATAATCGTAGACATAGTATAATCGGGGGTATGAACGACACTCCATTTATTTTATTATTTAATTATTTCTGATTGGGTGACAGCGAACTGCGAAATCGTGATACAACTCAATACCTCAACAAATATGAATTGGCGGAGTGACGTAATCCAAAAAGCCGCGCCTGTCTCATTTTTAGTAACCTTGCATTGTTGATATCAGAACAAACTTCTCCCTGATAATTTTTTGTATCATGCATAAAACATATTTAATAAATATCTATATCTTCACAATGAAGTTTGGCGTTTTTGCGAAAGAGTGCTTCACTTTCCTAGAAATGCTAGATGATCTTGGCAAGAAAACAATCATCAGAATTACAGCATTAGAACAATGACGACGATTCCAATCCGAAGAAGTTATTTAAACATTTTTGCCGAACTATGGAAGGAACACATCCAGAATTAACTTTTCGAACATTTTATTTATAACTGTTTATTTCTTGCATGTCTATATCTAGTTATGTAATGTTTTATATTAATAGTAATTCAAGCGGGGGGTTGTAAATTACCAACATATAGTAAAGCAATACAATAAAGAAAGTTCAGATAGAATATTAAAGCGTGATTAGAAATTTTTCAAATTTCGCTGAATTATTGTAGACCTATCTATTTTTTTCCGAGCACGTGAATAGTATTTCCCAATAACTTGTATACATTGATACTATTTTCATCTCCAGCGCATTTGATGTTGTCCACACATGGATCAGTTTCATTACGGATACAGTTGTCACTTTGGCCATATAGACTATACGACTGACCAGAACTTGGTCCACTCCAACATTCGCCTATGATGAAAGATTAGAAAAAATATCACTCATCTAAAACTAATTAAACTCCAATGATTAGATACACAAAATAAGACACTGTCTACGTTTTTAATAAACGTCAATATGATCTCCGACGTTCAGTACCTATTAATTTTAACATATGAGAGGTGGGATCAAGAATACCGGATTCAAAAAGACGATTTTCTGTACGCAATACGTCGAAATATTATTCACTGTTCCTTGTTCTCGTTTTCTCGTTGGCCAAACACCTACGAATATTTCTAGTTGTTATATAGATATCTTTTTTACGGATATAAGCTTTTCTGCAACATGATTGGCTCTCATGCAACTAACAGGATATTAGCTCATTTCCTGATATATAGTACAGACTGAAAACAAAATGGCCGCTCATGCACAACCTAACGGAGTTTCGCGAACGAGAAAACAGCAAGCTATTCGCTTTTATAGCCTGAACATAGGGTTAAACACACAGTAAAAAAACTACCAGCAACTTTTGCAGGTATGCTATTAGGAAATAAAACTTAAAATTTTATAAGGTTAATTAAAACATATGTTTTTGAAAAAGAATAACGCCGATATAGTATATGTATATCAGCACAAAATAAATCTTTTTGACAAATTTAAAGTCAGGAACATTTTATACAAGTTAAATCAACAAGCACTTGTTTGTCTAAAAATCTTAAATAATTTTGATCAAATTTTATCAATAAATTAGATAACAAATTTTAGCAATGTTTGAAGTGCCGATGATTGAAAAATTCAGTTTTCAGCCGTGTTTCCTCGGGTATAGACCAAACTGTGTGGATTGCCAAATTAGCTGTCAAATATTTTCATCCTGAAGAATCTGTAAATGCTATAGTTGCCCGTATAAAAAAACAGTTGTTCTACTCACTCTAGTGATATATACGACTGATAGCGAACTCACTGCTAGGCACCACGTCGGCTATCAGCTCATATACTCATCGAGTTCGCAGAAAAACTGTTTGTTATTGGCAGGTACTTGCACTGCTTTTCGTGGAACCTGTTATTGGACGGAGCCCCAAACATTCCAGCTGTAACCTGTTTGCACAGAAATCTAAGGAATGCATTGGAAATGTCTTCGTTGAGCTGTTTTGTATGTATTCAATTATCTTTTCAATGGATGAAATTCAAAAATTAGTCGGAAACAAAGAGCTTGAAAAACAGTAGAACTTACAAAAATGGAGAGACAATATAAATTGATATGTGAAACAGTATATAAATGAGAAGGAATTGTCTGAAATATCTTATTAACTTATCAAATTTGAACAGTTGAACTAGGTTTAGCCCAAAACTAGCTACCGCTCGAAAATATACAGACGAACGCACGCGACTATTTTTCAATTTATTTTTGTAAAGAATTGATATAAAAACCTTTTATAAAGAAAATATATAATATCAGACGCAATTCCCTTGAACACGAAGGCATTGTATTTATATAAGTAACATATAACCATGCCTTCTCCAAAAATGCTCAAGATAAATATATTACCTTTATTTCGAATGGCGAAGTTCGCGTATCCTTTATCTTCAGTGGCTCGTGCACAACGACATAACAATTGTGAGTACATCGTCTCCCAGGATTCATCAAACTCCAACATATAGCCATAAAATTTGTCACTGGCTGGGGATATTTCATTAATCAAAAGCTCCGGCATTGCCATATTGTTGTTGTTGTCGTCAACCGCCTTGTAACAGCCCAAGCTTACATATTTCACTTCACAGTCAGGGTGAGCTAAAATGAATCAAATTTATAATATATTTAAACTAATGTAATTTGATATACTAGAATCGTTATAAACCGGGCATAATACCGGACATTTCATGAACTCGCATTCTGGACTCAGATAATTTTTCAATTTGTCATTTCAGTACTAAAATTTCGTTGATTATCAATTTCAGAAACCCTTTCAAAGCTTCTGTAGCATATAAGAGTCTACGGACCAAAGAAGACAATAAATCAACGTAAGCAATGATTTTGTGGGAAATAAATTCACAAGGTAGTCTCGACGCGCCTGCTATATAGCCTAATGTAACTTCCTTCTCTCGTGGAAAACCGAATTTAATTACCGATTTATTTAATTTAGTGAATTAGGTGATGCTTATTCACAATCCTCAAGCACTACAATTTTAGGCGATACATTATTTTTAGTATAATGTAATTGGCAACCTACCAAAAATGTAATAATACAAAAATGAAAAACAGTTGCACAGACAGAAGTGCATGCGCAACTTTTTCCGATACGAGTGTAAAAATTTGTTAATTAACAATCAAGTGTTGATTGTTGTGCAACATTTGAAATACATCTTAAACGTACATTGGATGAAAAAGGGAAATCCTGGATTTTTCCTGTCCGGCTAACCGGGTAATATTTCATTTGAAGAATATTTTCAGGGGGGGATATTAACACTTGACAAATGTTAAAACCCACGCATAAACTCGGGGGTGGAAGGGTTGGGGTTCAAATTAACAAGTGTATAAGAGAATATTTTTTTGAAATTGGGAACAGCGTTTAAATTTAGTTTGCTCTTCTCCAGTAGGAAAAATTGGCGTATTTCTAAATAAATTACACCAATTATATTATCCCTCTCCCTAAAGCAGTAACCCAACTCAACAGGCTATACAGGGTGTATCAAAAAAAGCGCAATCCTCGACTGAAATGTAAATTGCTAAACACATAATAGACGAAAACGTTAAAGTTTACATTCATTTTAAAGCGTAGCCATTCGGCTTTCTAACAGTGGGTTGTTTCTTAAATTTGACTCATTGGTTCGCGGCTAATAATACTTTACGTTATTGCGATTGGAGATTAAAAAAATTGAGATGGAATAACAAATCATGAAAATAACTGATTTTTTCATTAAAACAAAAAAATGTTGCATTTTATTAAATGGATTGTAACAATAAGTATAATTACGGCTTTTCTTCCACTATTTTTAACACAGTTTTAAACTTCAAATGCGATATAATTTTGGCTTGGACCATCCAAGCTGACTGACATCAACTTGCTATTATTTCTGTTTACATTACATCGCAATTCGATGACACTCTGGCTCAGACACCAGAGTGTTTTGACGATTTTTAGCATTCGTTTAAGATTTTCAAACAACCTGGTCTCTTTTAAAATACTTTTAATTTGTTCTTACGTGGTTTTCCAGATGTAGTGACGACAACATTAAAGTTTAAAGAAGAAAATTCTAACATTTAAACTGACTATAAACAATAACATAGTAAACTTGCATAACTAAACAGCAACTAAAAATGATAGGTTTTACTAAATCTTTTCTTGTGCAATTATTACTAGCATTGGAGACAAGGATAATAGTTTGTTTGAAAGAGAAAAGAACAGGCTTTGAAGTAAACCTAAAAGCGTTTAACTAGAAATAGTATTTCGAAAGTTATTAAGCACAAAATATGAATTGCGTTTATTTTGATACACCCTGCAAATATATATATATATATATATATATATATATATATATATATATATATATATATATATATATATATATATATATATATATATATATATATATATATATATATATATATATATATGTAAATTAGGTCTTCTGGTTGGCCCCAACGATCATATTAGATGAATATCGAATGATTTGGATGAAGTGATTATTTTTGAGCAACCAGTGGATATACTCATTCAAAATTGATATCTTATTTCACAGGATTAATGTGTTCCATTGAATTCTGGAATTTCACAAATTGTCACCTTCCCATTCTTAAGCAAAACGTGCTCTCAAAATGTCGTGTGTTTCAGCGACTCGATTTCAAAAGGCTATCGTTGATAGTGGCAAAACTAGCTGTCTTGGCAGTCATGCTGGTTGTAACCGGCCAATTATTAAAAAAATATTAAAATAAGCATTATACTTATAGTCTTCTTGCAAACAGTATGCTCTTACGTAGTTGCGCCAAGATACGGCACATGGCTCCCATTTACATTTGTTAAATAGTTCAAAATCTTCGGCTTCCCGACTTTTTTAAGGAAAAGGAAAACAACAATAAAAAAACCCAACAAAATTTTCCTTCCATTACTGGCCTGTTACCAAGCAACTGTGCTCTTCATATACACGTGTTATATTAATTCTTATTCATGCTTTTTCCGAAGAGTATGACTAGCGTTATTATTTTATGCTGGAAACACATGGATTCTCATTGGATACTTGCCGCTTGCATGCATGCATGCACAGTATGGCCGTTTAGAGTGGTTTGGTCATGTCATTCTCCATCCGCATGACTAAAATCCTCACTTATAATAAATACATGCAAATTCAGAAACACTGTTCGATTCTGCATTAATTTCTGCACAATAAACAGCAATAGTTCGTTTTTTTATTCAAAAACGGAACTGTAATATTCGGCTTTCAATACTTTCAAACGCGATTTTCGTAGCAGGCGTCTCTAATCAATTTATAGAGAACTTTTTATCGTGTGTTCACCTCACAGGGGCAATATAATTCTTTGGCGCTCAATGAGTTTTTTACCTTGTGTGCAACATAATCCCTTTTAATTGTGTAAATGATATATAGGTATTTAATTTGTTCGTATGATGTTTATACATCATATAAAAATGCATGTATATATATATATATATATATATATATATATATATATATATATATATATATATATATATATATATATATATATATTTGTGTTTGTGTGTTCATATACTAAGTCTAGTACATGTTGTAAGCTTGGATATATGTGAAGTAAAGATTGTTGCTCAAGCTTGTATTCAGAAAATATCTGAACTCCCAACGGGAATCGAACCCGTGTCTCCCGATTGCCGGTTTGGTTGTTTTACCACTATACTATAGGGATTCAGACAGCAATGCGATGTTAACTAGAGACCTGGTTAACTGAGATCTTTACTTCACATATATATATATATATATATATATATATATATATATATATATATATATATATATATATATATATATATATATATATATATATATATATATACCACCTGATGATTGTCACAAATAGTGACATGAAACTTAAAGTAGCGAGAAATTGAAACATTTTAAGATAACAAATTAATTCGCTCTGCTCAATATTTGTAGTATTGAGCACTCTTTTATATATATATATATATATATATATATATATATATATATATATATATATATATATATATAAATTAAGGTACAACAAATCAACAAAATCCACTAGGCATCTTTATTACTAAATAGTTTCGTACCACAGTGTGGCACTCTTCAGATAAATTGACCTAATGAGTATAGACTAAAACTTACAAGGTTATATGTACAAGTGGATGAGACTTATGTGATAAGCTTATGTGATAAGCTGACAGGACGCGGAAAGATTAACACACCGCGGTATATTTAAATGTACTAACTCATTACGTTTGTTTAAAGTGGCCATTTTAGGCTGACAAATAATAAAGTATTTCTCCCATAAACACAAATTACATCTATTTGAAGCACAGTTATAAGGCTTAGCTCGTTTCAATAGTTTCCATTTGATTGTATAATGGATGTTTCGATTTTTCAATTCCCACACATATTTATTTATATATATATACATATATATATATATATATATATATATATATATATATATATATATATATATATATATATATATATATATATATATATATATATATATATATAATATAGGTCAATTTATCGAACTAATATTAGGTCAATTTATCTGAAGAGTGCCACATACTGTGGTACGAAACTATTTAGTAATAAAGATGCCCAGTGGATTTTGTTGATTTGTTGTACCTTAATTTAAATATGCTCTGGTTTTCCATTGAGCACTTTGCCAAAAGTTTTTATAACCAACGAAATCAAATATTATATATATATATATATATATATATATATATATATATATATATATATATATATATATATATATATATATATATATATATATATATATATATATATATATATATTTATATATATATAGATGTACATCGTAGATTTGAAGATGACCGTTGATGATATACGCAATACAAATGTATAAAGAGGATGTATTAATGCGTGATACTTCATAAAATCGTCATCAATCACGAGTTTTGGCTAAACTATGGTAAATTTGTGAAGGTTTTGACCCTCCTCCAAGTCAAACTCGTGCGCACAATTGAATGCCCAATTCGCACGAAATGGTATTTCCTGGTTCTAATTTTCAAAATGATGGTTTTCCTCTATAGTCGTAACTGTGATCAACAAATTAAGGTGATCGGCGTCATTGAATGTTGATATATTTCAACAATCAATGAAGACTGATTGCTGGCAAGTCAGAAAGATAGTAAACGCAACAATTTCAAACCAATTATCGTTCTATTATATGACTTGAAACAGTATAGTAACGATCATATGGAAACCCGTCTGCATGGAGGATTATCGTCGTTATAAAAACTCATTATAAGAATGCCTTTCAAAACCAACGCAAAAAGGTTTTTACTCACTAATGCGGTAAACTGTGTTTACGAAATTTCTTCCAATACAGAATCGATTCCACTTTGTGCAGCTCTGGTAACATTGGTTGATACAGTTAGTAGTTTCACCCTGCGCAATGTAATGTTTCTCTTCAAATTTCTGTCCTGTCCAGCATTCACCTGTGCAAATAAAAGGTTTTTTATTATTTTCACACTGATAGGATGAAACCTATTATGTACCGAATCTTAAAGGAGAGCTGCAACGTATGCATAAACACGGTAGAGCTAAAAAATTACTGCCTTGTCATTAATTGCAATACACAATGAACATGCACTCGCTAAAAGAGTCATGTCTAAGTCCATGGGGAAAGTAAGCATGCGTGGTAGTCGGTCAACGAACATAGAATGATAATTTACAGGAACACTGAGCTTTCGTACAGTAACTAAACGTCGCCTAATTTCTGCATGTAAAAATGTGATTGGTTAATATTTACAGTTATTGATTTGTTTGCGCCCAATGAGGAAACATTTAACTGTCTGTCGTGCGCATGCACATTTCATACAAATAAACATCAAACAGACATGCCTTTTACAGTGTTCGTAAGAGGTGACTAGATACCGCAAAGATTTATTAGTGTGCTGCTTCCCGAAGGAGACAGTGATATGTAGATTAAAAGCCAAGGGAGAGGTTTTTATTAAAAACCGATACCCGCGGCTTTTAACTTGTTTATATACTCATCAGACCATATTCTTTTGAAGGTTTTCTTCATTAAAAATTCAAGCTGTATTAATTCAATGAGAGGTCGCTGCAGTTGTGGGACGAAATAACTAGGTGTAACATGCGCATTAACACGCTTTAAAATGTGGTTAAGCATGCGCTGTATATCATTTCACGTCCCACAAGCAAAAGAGCAGATATTACTATATAAATTCCCTGCACAAGCATGTTTGATGGGTGATGGTTGATCCAACTAGTCCTCGTGCGCCGAATGATAGATACTCTTACCTAATGGTAGAGTTTTGACGGGCTTCTGAGGTACACGGCTGTTGTCTCTTTCTCGACTTAGAAGACGTGCAACGTTTTCTCGACTTAGAAGACGTGCAACGTTTTCTAGTCGAAAAGGAGATGTGGGTCTTGAGTTTTCCTGCAAATTCAAGTCCCGACTTCAAGACTCATGCCAGGTCTTGAATTGAAAATGTAAAACCAGGTAACTGGTTATTATTTTTTCGTAATAACCGGGTATCAGGTTATTACGGAATAATAATAACCTGGTAGCAGGTTATTACGGAAAAACAATAACCTGGTAGCAGACTAGCAGGTTATTATTTTTCCGTAATAACCTGCTACCCGGTTATTATTTTTCCGTAATAACCTGCTACCCTGTTATTATTTTTCCGTAATAACCTTCAACCCCGTATTTCCCCCGGAGAAATCAAATACCACCGCCTGCTTTTAGATTGAAGGTTATTACGGAGGAGTTAAAAACCGACGAAATACAAAAGAATATGGTCTGATGAGTTTGTAAATATGGTTGAATGCATTCAAGGTACCGTAATACTGCAGTCCAAATGTGTTATATCCATTTTCGACGGTCTTCTTAGCACATTCACAGGCAAACATTGGAAGAAAAACATCGTAGTTCCACCAATCAATAGGTTGTCCCACGTAATTACTGGCGCCTGGGACACGTGCTGACAGGACATGTTCGTTGTCCTGCTCGTAATCTTTATAACAACCAATCTTCTCAAAATGAACATCGCATGTAAACGTCGCTGAAAAGCATAAGAGCCAAATTTAGGGGTAAATTACAACCAGTGCATGACAAAACACTTAAGACAGAATAGCAAAATAGTGCTAGTTTACATGATAATTGAACCAACACGCCCCCTGTTCAATGTTGTTTCGTCGAAAACGTGCACAAAATGTTGCTTGCCAAAGACATAACACCGTTTATGGTGTGGGAGGGGGTGAGCGATGGTGTTGCTATGCTGAACAGTATTTCTAAATGTGCAGGTATCTACATAAGCCGTGTTTATACTAAGGGACTGACATTTACCTGTATTTACCTGTACCTGAGAAGTGTACCTAGTCGGGCTTTACACAACGTTTTTACATTTGTTACCATACTTTAAAATACCCACGACTGCATATTTTTCCTTATACAGCTTCGATCGAACTAGACGATCTTTAAGATTTTTACATCTACGGAAACTTATCATAGGTGGTTCTGGCATTACGCTTAAAAAGATATCAGGTCAAACTTACGATTTGTTGTAACTCCCTAAATATTCCGTAGAGAGCACTTAAAGCTGGGTGATAATCGAGCACGAAACAATTCCTATTTTTTTGTTTCAGGGCTATCTTTACGCGTAAACAAACTGGTCCTACTAATCCTCTTCACCCTGCTAAATTGGCTCTCTACGAAATATGAGTCATATCCCCTTTTAACTAAATAACCCCTTTTAACTAAATTATCCTTTAACTCGTAAATAATTTGTAATCACTTCCAGATACATTGGAACCCAAAGCTCGGAATGATGGCTCGCCTAGGCTCGCTTTGAATGACGCTTTGAAAGTATATTAGCATAGACGGCATGGAAGGCGAAGCAGAAGAGGTTTCTTTAATACGTAACATAATATTAATTTGCTTAGCTGTTGTAAAACTGACCGTTCTCGAAAGTCGAAACGCGAACTGATTTTCAAATCTCACACGCGAGCAAGAAATAGCAGTTAAAGATTTACTCCTTGAAAAGAATGTTTTGGCCGTTCTACCTGCGTACTGGTTATGGGAAAAGCTTGATTTTTACATTTTTCTTGTTGCCTGTTAGCGCGAAAAAAATATAACGAGAATATTATAAAACAAAAAATGGCCATATAGTCTTTCTTGCAATTAGCCGTTTCACTTTCTGAACTTTTTATTAAGGCCTTCTTTATCACACGGCTTCGTTCGGTAGACGAGGCAGTTATTGGCAACTGACGTTTTACAACAGTCTATTTGTTCGATACGTATACAGGCAACGCGTTTATGTCTCGTTTGATTTCAGGCAATCAGTTCGTTTGCCTTTCGGATCTTTCGCTCACACGGTTTACAAACTCGGTCGAATAGTTACGAGGTAGAACTAACTTCGATTCCTAAATGAACTGAACACAATTCGGCCAAGGTTTTGCCACTGTCGTAATCGTTTCCTTTGCTTGACTTAATAAATAAATTCTCCGACGGTATATAAGATATTTTCTCTATTGCTCCGTGTTTTAGTTTCAAAGTACACTTATACACAGACGACGGTGGTCATTACATTTCCGCGCTTGCTTTTCTACCTCTTGTCGTGAATCAGAGGTCCTGATTGGAACTTTGAATGGCGTTTCTTTCGCGATATTTTATGTTTGCAATTTTGCGAACAAAGAATAACATAGTTTGAAAGTTTGATTGTTAATAATATATTTAGTAATGATTTTTGAGACGTTCTCTGGTTGAAGATTTTTTTTTTATTTACGAGCTTTCGGTTGGCAGACTGCAGCCTTCAACGGGTAGTTATGAAGGCTGCAGTCTGGCAACCGAAAGCTCGTAAATAAAAAAAATCTTCAACCAGAGAACGTCTCAAAAATCATTATGTTCAATGCTGGTCGCACTTCCAGCATATTTAAAAATATATTTAGTGTTTGCTGATTGGCTAATTGGACAAGTACAAAAAGTGGGCGGTTATCAAATTACACTGCCAAACCCAGCAGGCGGTATTTTAGAAATGTTAAGAAATGCTAGGAAAATGAGTGATCATAATCAGCGATTATCCTCTATTAAAATATATTACAGCAAGAAAATCTGAAATTTTGTGTTCAATTACAACAAAAATGACTTGCATCATCAGAAAGCCTACAAAAACCTGCATTAAAGACATTTAAACCCTTTTTTATATCTCAAATAACAGCTGGGCATTCTGTTGTAGCTGTCTAAATATTGCGGGCGCATTTCTTTAATTAACAAACATTTTGATTCTTCGAACGCTGAAAATATGCATTGTGTTTTGACACTTTAATAGAACTGCATAATATATGCTAATTATTTGATATTTAATTAGGTTAATTTTGGTCACGCGCATTGTTTGTTTTTAATCATACGATCGAGGAAAGGGGAACAACAACTATTTTGCAGTCAAAATAGTTTGATTAATAGAGCGAAATGGGAAGTTATTTTGGGCGAAATATGCCAGATGAATAACAATTCCGAACGCGTTCGAGTAGCTAGTGACACGCTAGAAAACAAAGACGCCGAGTGTTAAAGATCGCATCAACGATGGTTAAAATTGAAGAGTTAAATCGGAAGAGAAGTTCGGCGAGGAAAAAGTTCGACGACGAAGTAAAAAACTTCGAATTTGTGCTAGAAGCTCGCGCAGAAATACATAGTCTTGAAGAGGCTTTTGGCGAAGTCAAGGTAAAATATAAAGCTGTAAGAGAAATACATGATGGAATTACCGACTTAATGGTCGAAGCTGACATTGAGGAAGCCGATTTTACAAATCATGATATTTTTATCACGAAAATCATTGCAAAATATGGCGATTTACTCTCAAAGTTAGAACAATATGGACGAAAATGTGAAGTAGATCAAACATCAAAGGGACTAGCGACTGAAATGGAACCCAAACAACACAGGTCTAATCTGGAGAGAATCAAGCAGTGTTGTAACGAGTCACCTACAGGTCGAGTCACGAGTCGAGTCGAGTCACTCAAAGGTCGAGTCACGAGTCGAGTCGAGTCATTTCAGTTTTTGATCGAGTCGAGTCAGGGGCTTCACTCGAGTCGAGTCGAGTCAGCGTCTTCACTCGAGTCAAGTCGAGTCACTGATTTAAGTCGAGTCGAGTCAATTTCTAGACTTTACTTGAGCTACCCTAGCTTGCTGTCGGAAATTAGTAATCAAATTTGCGTTTTAAACTAATTACTTTAGTCATTTAAATTAATAACAGTATCTGGGCAGCTATAGGCTGTGCCAATATCACAGTTCCAGTCAACAACGTGAGATGTCTCATTATACCTGCTGATCGAGTGTACGTACATACAACTAGCAAAACTTGCAACTGGAGTCAGAATTAACAAAGAATAGACTTTAATTAACAACGCTGGGTAAGTTGATTTGAAATTATATAGCCCTTCATAAATACCAAAAATGAAAATAGCCTGTCAGAATTAGTATAAGTACAAAACATTTTGAGACTTAATTTTAAAAAACTGTGGCACTAGCGTTGTTTCTAAAAACAGAAATGTAATATAGGTATGCCCGTCTGGAATATATTCTATGCAAATCCCATATATTTCCTGATAAAGTTTCAAAGTTCTCATTGTTTACAGGGCTCGTTGTTCTTCCCAAATAATACAATCACAATAATTGTGATGAATTTACTCTGTACAAGTTGTAGATGAGTTGAATCGAGTCATTTACGGCAAAATCAGCAAATCGAGTCCGAGTCAAGTCATTTGGGGCTGTTGACTCGAGTCGAGTTATTTTTCGTATTGGACTGAGTCGAGTCGCTGAAAATAGCGACTCGACTCGAGTTGACTCGAATCAGAGTCAATGACTCGACTCTTTACAACACTGGAATCAAGGTACCACAATTTTCTGGAAACATTAAAAATTATCGAACATGGAAAAGAATTTTCGAGGACACTATAAAGAGAAATTATGAAATTGAACGAAGTCAACTTGCAAGATTGATTGAAGCTATCCAAGCCCCCCCCCCCCTTGAGATATGAAATTGAATGTTTTACTACAACTAAAGCAATATGGGAATTTCTCGACAAGTTATTTGGAAACGGCAAAGAGTTGATTAAAATTTTGATGAATGATATCAAAACAATGAAACCCCTGAAGGTCAAAGATGCAAAGTCGATTCGGAATTTGGTCGCAACAGTTCGTGGGTTTATTCTCAGAATGGAGGATGTTAGAGCATCTGACGAAGCCAAAGGTAGATATGTGTTTGCTGATATTCTGGCGAACTTGACGGTAGAAGATCAAAGAGCTTACGCACGGAGTATGATTGATACAAAGAAGATTGAAAGCCTGCATACCTTGTTGGAATACCTAGAAGAAGAGGCAAAAATAATGACAAGTAGTCAATCGGATCAACGCTCTTCAAAAAGTGGGTTTTATCCAGTTAATGTGGACGGTGGTTACAATGGTGGTTACAATTGTAGTTTGGGTTGTTCCCAACAACATGGTTTAGGTTATTGTCCAGCGGTTAAGAAGATGAAAGTGAAAGAAAAGTGGGAAGTGGTGATTCAGTCCAAGAGATGTAAAAAATGTCTGCGAACTGGACACCGACATGTGATATCAAAAGTTGTGAAAGACCACATCATTACCTATTGCATAAAGATCCAAAACAAGTGGACCACGGCAATCTGAACCCTGATGCACAACCATTCAAACCAGATCAAGAGGGAGCTACAGGCACGGGAAAGTCCAATCAGGTTGGTGCTATTTCAGCTGGTAATGCAGGAACTGCAAATCTACCAACTCAAAAAGTCAAAGTGAACAGTGACAATGGGAACTCTATTGAAGGACTTGCCATGGTTGATAGTGGTTCTAATAAAAGTCTCATTCGGAAAAGTTTGCGGACAAGCTCGGTTTGGTCGGAGAAATAAAAAAGATGAAGATGTATGTTGCAGGCGGTGGGATTAGAGTTGAAGATTCTGCTGCGTTTGATTTAAAGATATCGCCCTGCTTTGATGAAGATATTCTATTCAATGTGAGAGCTTATTCAGTCAAGAAACCGTGCCAAGCAGCTAAAACTGTTTCAAAGAAAGTGGTAGTCAGATTTCCTCACCTTGTTCGAATTCTAGAAGATCTACATCTAAATGGCGGTCCAGTGGACATTGTATTGGGAACAGATCTACCGGAAGCACATCGTGATTTTCAAGTTCTGGCGGGTAAAGCTGTTGAACCGATTGCAAAGAAGAACATCTTTGGCTGGTCAGTCCTTGGTAATTTTGAAGAGAATGGTACACATGGAATTTTTGCTGTTGAAACTATTGACGACATAACAAAGGACCAGGACATAAAGAAATTGATTTTCCAAGATCAATTAGGAATCAAACCAACTCGTTACTGTACATGCTCTGAGAAGGAAATGCGAGAATTTGCATTCATTCGACATGTTCGGGAGTCTACTAGAGTTTTGGATGATGGAAGAATTTAAGTAAGAATGCCTTGGAAACCAGGACATCCCAATCTACCTAACAACCGGTCTGTCGCCTTCGAACGAATGGTGTCGAAAGAAAGGCAGCTGGTAAAGAAAGGAAAGTTGTAGGCGTTTAACAAGGAAGTAAAAGCTTTGGTCGACAGAGAAGTGGTCATTAATTTAAGCTGCAACAAGAGGAAGTAGACCCGGAGTAGCCGGATTGGTATCTACCGATTGGAGAAGTGGAAAGTCCCGACAAGACTACCTAGTGCAGATTAGTTTTCGATGCAGCAGCCAAAATGGACGGACTTTCCCTCAATGATGCTCTTGACAAAGGACCATGTCTTATGAATTCCTTATTTGATGTGTTGATTGGCTGGAGAAATACCACAGATTCTTTTGGAGAGACGGAGAAATGACAGAGAGCCTGATGTGTATCAATGGGTACGCCTTAGTTTTTGAGATAATCCAGCTCCAGACCTTGCCATCAATGCCATTAATCTTCTCGCTGATAGAGCTCAAGTCGAATTTCCAGAAGCAGCAAGAATTCTAAAGGAGCATACTTATGTTGATCACGTCGCGGGTTCGGAGACATCACCAGAGAATGTCAAGAAAGTGGTCGATGGTATCGATACCATTTTGGGCAAAGGCAAGTATGCCATCAAGGCATGGCACAGCAATAGCCCAGAGATTGATCAAGATGGTAACGAGAATCCGGTGAGTCTACTGGGCCATCAGTTGAACAAGAAAGCTGTTAACATTGCTTTCAAGAGAGAGACAGTGTATACAGATCTCAGTTATTGTATGAAACGAAAGGCTCTTGGTGTGGTGTCTCAACTGTGGGTTCCCTAGGACTGATGGCGCCAGTTACAATTCGGTTTCGGATTGATCTCCAGAATCTATGGGCCGCGGGTTATTATCAGTGGGATGAGTTATTGCCACCTGAAGAAAAGTTCAAATGGCAAAAGAATGTCGAGATTATGAACGCCCTTCTAGGTACCCACCTGGAAAGGTGCCTAAAGCCTGAAAACTCGGTGGGAAGCTCACAGCTCCATGGATTCTCAGATGCGGGAGAGTTAGGATAAGGTGGAATCCTCTTCCTTCGGTGGGAATTGGTGGACGGCAAATTTATTTCCAGATTCGTTGCAGCGAAAACCTTGGTTGCACCACTGAAGAAGAAGAAGACTACAGCCTTGTCCTGGATAAAAAGCTCGCAAGCAGAATTCAAACCATTCGTGAGTGTCCGAGTCGTTGAGATTCAGGAGAATCAACCAACTGCTGTTTGGAATTACATCAACTCGGAAGCAAATCCAGCGGACGCACTCACCAGAGGGATAACACCTGAAGACCTCCAGTTATGGCGTCATGGTCCTCGATTTATCCAGAAGCCAGAAAACGAATGGCCTGACTTTAAACGATCGAGTACCGTACCCAACTCAGTCCAACCTGACCTAGAGAGAAAGAGCAAATCTAAATGCAAGATTGACTTATTACAACTTACTCAGAACAACACTTCAGAAACTGAAGGAGTGAACAATGCATTTAACGTTGACGAAATCTGAAACAACGAGCCAATAGTCACTGGACAGTTTGTTGGTAATAACGAGGATACTCAAGAAGTCCTTCACAGAATTCTAGCTGGATCATCTCCCTTTCGCAAAGCAAGACGAGTGACTGCGTTGGCAGTACGAGCTATCAAGAATATCCTCCAGAAGAAAATCAAGGGACCAATCTCTGTTCCTGAGCTGCACGATGCTGAGATACGACTGATCAAGATGTCACAGGCAGGAATGGACGTGACCGGGAAAAGAATGCAAAATATAATTCCCTTCGTAGACAAAGATGGAATCTGGAAAGCTAAAGGAAGATTGGAAAATGCCCGTCGACTACCCCACGCACTTCGAAACCCAATCATTTTATGGAATAGTCATCCCTTGGTTAAATTGTTGCTACGACACCATCACCAGAAGCTGGCGCATTGTGGATACAAGCGGTTGATGGTAGAAATCAGACGGTGGTATTGGGTAATTGGTCTACGTGATGTAGCCAGAAATCATGTCAAAGCTAAGCCTGCATTCCTTGCAAACTGATGCGAAAGAGAGCCTGTGAACAATATATGGGACTGCTACCGGTCTACAGGACAGACATTAATCATCCTGTTTTTGCCAACACTGCTTTAGACCTTTTCGGACCATTTGAAATCAAACTAGGAAGAAAATCCATCAAAGAGGCTTGTTGCTGCATATTCACATGCATGACAAGAAGAACAATCCACTTAGAACTTTGTACGGACAGATCTACAGACACGTTCTTGATAGAATTCAGAAGATTTAGACGGCCAGCCAACCTCAATAAAAGTGTCTCTAAAATGTCATTGATGGCATTTTTTGTTACAAGCTGGCAACTGGCGTTTTCGTATAGCTTAGGTACTGGAGAACAACGTTTGATAGGTTGCCACCTCTGATATTGAGTTTAAAGTGAAAAATTTTGAGAATCTGAAAATTTTGTCTATTAAAATTACTATACTCACTAAATTATGAAATTTGAAACCAACTTTCAGCAAAAATCACCTATATAATCAGAAAGTTCGGAAAAAAGTAGATATAGAACATTTAAGTGAGAAGTGTGAATTATAACCCTGTTTTCAGTTACGGGCGCTTAAAGTTGCTAAAAAACAGATTTGTGACGTCATTCACCGCATTTTACCTATTTTTAAGTGTCCATAACTCGAATTTGACTAAATAAATCGTATTACTCGTTTAAATGTCTTATATGTACTTTTTTATGCTCTTTCTAACGATATAAACGATGCTAATTTAAGTGAAATTCAAATTTCACATTTTTTCGGGAGTATAATAATTTAATAGGCAAACTGTTCAAATCCTTAAAATTTTCTCTTCGTTCATTAAAATCAGAGGTGGCAACATATCAAACGTGACTCACCAGTGTCTAAGCTATAAGAAAACGCTTGTTGTTTGCTTGTAACAAAAAATGCCATCGACAGTCATATTTTGATCGGCTGGCTGGCCGTCTAATTTTCATGTATCAGAGGACATCCGAAGTTAGTTTGGTCGGACCGTGGGACGAATTTTGTTGGTTCCTAAAAATACCTGCAGGAGATGGTGGAGAGCTGGGACATATCGAAGATTAAATCCAGCGTTTCAGAATTTGGCACTTCATTCGAATGGTGTTGGAATGTGCCTAAGGCTAGTCACATGAATGGAGTCGTGGAATTGCTGATAAAGTCCGTTCGAAGAGCATTGGAGAGTTCATGTAAAATGATAGCCTACACAGAAGAGCAATGGAGAACGTACTTAGCTGAAGTAACGTTTCTGGTGAACTCCAGACCCTTATACCCTGCATCTAGCAACATTTGGGAAGAACCTCCCATCAGCCCCGAACGACCTGATCATAGGACCAAATTTTGGTGTTCCACAACGGGAAGAAAAGGAGCCCGAGGCATCTCACCCGAGGCATCTCAGCAAAAGTGTTCAGAAGAGAGTTTGTCAATTCTGTCAATGTTGGATGAGGTATTTCGCTCCAAACTTGTTAATTGGATCGAAGTGGCACGAGAACAAAGATAATGTCGGAGTTGGTGATCTTGTATTAGAAATCGATGGGAATCGCAAGAGAGGTGAGTGGAAAATGGCGTTGGTGGAAGAAGTATTTCCTGCTGGTGATAATCGTGTTCGTAAAGTAAATATTAGAACGTCGAAGGGAGTCTACGAAAGACCCATAGCGAAGTTATGCCTAAATGCAATCCGACAAGAGCTCGAGCAGAATGAAACTTTAGTACGACACAGTTAAAAAACGCTGAAAAGACAGGCATATAGACAGTAATTTCGTTGCTCAAACGTTGAGCTGTTAACGTTTTCCGCACTGGGGAGGAATGTTTTGACACTTTAATAGAACTGCATAATGCATGCTAATTATTTGATTTTTAATTAGGTTAATTTTGGTCACGTCTTGTTTGTTTTAGTCATACGATCGAAAATTGAAGGACAAAAGGGAACAAAAACTATTTTGACAGCCAAATAATACCATAAAAAAGTATTAAAACTTGTACGAAATAATCCTTAGAACATTGTCCGTTCTTTGTGTTGCGAAGAGTTCACAACATATTGCGAGAGGATTTTTTGTCCTCTTTTACTGGTTTGTTCATGGAAAATAAAGTGTTTCTTGAAAGATTAAGTTGTAGTGCTTGTACGCAACGATATAACGACTAAGGCTGCAGTCCAGTTACGCGTTTTTCATACGTGCGTACATGCACGTAAAAGTTAAATTCGCTTTACATCCTACAGTACTTATGAAATAACCAAATTTAGAAAAAGGACTGCATTCAGTTTTGTGTATGATTTAATGTGTATTTGTTAAGGTTATTTGCACTTATATGAAATTTTAAGCGGATTCAACTTTTACGTGCGTTTACGCACGTATGAAAAACGCGTAACGGGAATGCAGCCTTAAATCGCATGAAAATGTGCGAAGAATTTTTATTTACAAATTGGCGACAAGTGGAAATGTATCACTCATTGTCAGAGTTTCCGAAGCAGGGTACAGAAGTATGGAAACAAGGAAGTGTTCATATTTTACTCTTGATAGAACCTGAGTTGTTGTTGTTTCCACAGTCTAGGTATGTTCAATAATTTGTTTGTCCTTCCTCATCTGGAATAATAAGTGTCTTAAAATACATATTTTGATGAAAATGACATATATTCCTGTTGCAATTTCGTAAAAAGTGGCCGTTGCCTTTAGTTAGGAAATATATTTTATGAAAGTTAAATCATACTTTGTTTTATTAAAACCTGAGCTATTCGTGGGAAAAATGTGCTAGATGTTGTAATTTCGTTCATTGAAATGTTGTTATATCAGCTTTAAAACCAGATAAATCCACGAAGCACTCCTAATAATGTGTAGCCATATTGATTCTCTTCGCGCATGCTACGTATAAAACGCCCAGCTGTTATCTCAAACGCGTTCTTGACCTGCTACCCAGTCCTCATTGCGACATTCGGTCCAATTTTCACATTGAAAACAGCAATGACTGAAAGACCATTTGAAGAATCAAAAAACTGTTTAATTTAAAAGTTTTATTTGCGGTTTTTTGTACGTTTTCTGATAATTCAAGTAATTTTTATTGCAATTGAATACAAAATTTCCCATTTTTTTGCTGTAATACAATTTGTGCACCTATTAATTTTCTCGGTATTGGGCAATTGTTTTTTGCTTCGGTACTTTTTTTGGTAGTAATGTATCTGTATGTCTCAGAGTTTCAAATACATGCAAACCAGAAACCAAGTATACTTCCCACATGGTTGCCACGAAGTGAAATAATGTTGGTCAACTACACACGACTAAATTAAATTTGTCACATAAAAATTTGTCATAGAAAACTAGCTTGCTCGGCTGTAACCGACTTTAGAACCATCGGCATGTTCAAGTATTTTCTAATTATATTCAAAATCAACGTAAATGTTTATATATTTGCCGTTTCTGTTTTTAAATCAAGTAGTTATCCAGAGCATTTTGTGCTTTCTATTCTTAAAATGATTTTATATTAGTAAGTATGACCAGACACCGACACAGTTTGTTTATATACTGTAGTCATTTTCGTTTGGAAAAATTGAATATTCTGAACACTCGGAACCCTAAATTCAAGTAATTTTTTAACGCTAGTACAACTGCTGTTAAAATATTTCAACTGAAATACATAAATAAACCAAATTTTCTTTCAAAAGGGGGAAATTGGGGAGAAATTGAGACAAAGCTATAAACCCATCCATCATACAGTTTCCAATATTAGTGTAAACCACAGGTGTAGATACCTGGGTCGGTTGTTCAAAGCTAGGTTACTGTTCCCTGCAGGATTAAAATTAAGCCTGATATTATTAAAAACTAACAATATACTCGCAACTTGCAACTCGCAACTTGCAACTCGCAACTTGCAACTCGAAACTTGCAACTCGAAACTGGCAACTTGCAGTATAGACAATCTCTGACGAAACAACTGGTTTAGATTTAGTTTTGGATGAATTTAGAACTTACCAATTTCATACACAAAGTTGTGAAGATGATCCCCAACGCAGTTGCTATCCCGTGAATCACACATCTTGTATTCTGGCCCATAACAAGAACCACCTTCTCCATATTTATTGTATTGCGCTTGCGACGAGCCAGACCAACATTCACCTGAAATTTTAAAAAAAAATTATAGTGCCATTGATGGTTGACTTATTCAACATTTGAGGATTCTGGTTGAACTTAAATACTTCATTCATGATTGGCTTTCATGTGGGCGCGTCGTCAATTTATATACAAAGTATTTACAAGAAAATACGTAGAAACAAAGAAAAGCTATTCACAAGAGTGCATGACAATTATATGCAGCAGGTGTGACCGATGCATACATTAACATTAGTAACAGAATCAAAGATTAATATTTGTTTTTAACCGAGAAAGGTTATTCCAAAGCTTTGCCCGCTATATTTAAAACATTTTTTTAGGAATTCCCTTGTCGGTTTTCGGAGACCTTAATCAGTAGCTACAGCTATTTCTTGAGTTATAATTCGTCTGCGTTAAAGGATTAGTGTCAGGGTCATGCATTGCGGGCTTTTATTATTGTTTACATTTTACTCAAATACAACAAATAGCGATAAAAATACCTTGTTTGGTACATTTCTGATGAAACTAACACAAAAAGAGCAAGGATTATAACAGTTTGGTTTAAATATATGACGGATTGTTAAAACTTTCCAGATCATCTATAATCTATTCGTCCCGAAAAATGGCCGCCAGCAGGAGTTTGAGCCCGCGAATTCCAGATGTGATACTAATTTAGTCCTTTAAACTACTCCCAGTACTATAACTCTTGTGTAATTATTATGCGAAAGCAACGTAAAATTAATGAAGGGAAGTAATAAAACTTCAAATTCCACATTTATCAGTTGTAAGGAGAAAAGGTGACAGTGATAGCAACCCTAAGCTCTGACAGCTGGTCGTATATGCGGAACCAACCTCGTTGCGCGAAAAGACGAATATCATTTCACATTCCGGTCGGTTGAAACCTGTAGTCTAGGAATTTTAAACGTGAATTCATTAGAGACGACAATCAACAAATTCTCCAACCTCGTTCCCAGGACTTCAGTGCGAGAACGAGGGGACAGACGAGGAAGCCCTGGTCTGGGCCGGTCAATTTTGCATTCTGATTGGCTAACACCATATTGTCTAAAAATAACTGAACTTGCCAGTTGACAATAACAATTCAACATTTGTATTTTTATGATTCTTGTGTGTACGAGAATGTTTCCAAAAATAATATTTCAAAGTAAGACATTTTCCCGACTACATGATTTACTTTCGCCTCGGCCGCTTACAAAACTCAAAGCCGTGTGGAAGTGAGCTGTGATGTTTCCTGACAAAACAAGAAACGTCTACTATTATTTAAGCTGTAGTTTTCCTTGTACAGTATTTATAATGTAGTGCAGATGTCTGATGAAATACTACGCTTATGGCATTATAGTAATATTTTAATTTACAATATTCTGTACTGACAAATAAAAGCAAGACAAACAATTAAATGAAACTACTAAATTAATTTAGGCCCTGTTTACTTAATAGCTCTAAGGCTAGGCCGATGTAGTCCCTACAAGATTCGTCACGCCACCGAGTTTTACAGTTTCAGAATATCCCGTATGGCCGTATACTTAAAAATTGCGACTATACCCGGTAAAATAAAACAAAGATTGTGAAGGGGATAAAATTTGTAGGCAAGTATTGCTCCTGAACGGCAAGTGTTGGTGTCCGGCGAAACAAGCGAATCCGTATATTCCTGTGCAGCGTAAACAGGTTATGGGAGGTTTTAGCTTTGTGTTTATTTATATTGAACTAAGTCAGATCTATAAGAGCATATTTAAACTAACTATTAATTGTGGCAATAGCCATATTGTTCAAGACGAGAGAAAGCAAATTTCGTGTGAATTAATTCACGGAGACGCCTAGATGCAGATTTGATGCAGCTTTGCCTGTAGTTGAAAATCTCCAGAAATATCAGAAAACATAGATTGGGTCTTCATAAATTTCAGCTGATTCGTGCCAAACTTCGCTCTACACATAAATAATATCGATTGAGAAGTCTTTTCGCTATTTATTTGTTTCGAAGACTTCTATATTTCATTTAAGAATATCTCGCCACTCCTTGACGAGTAGCTGTCAAATACCGCCATTTTTTGGGTAGACACATGACCGGCTTCCTCGTCACTCCCCTCGTCCTCACGCTGAAGTCCTGGGAGCGAGGTTGCAAATTCTCTTCATTAACTTCCCCAAGAAGCATCCCGTGAGTAAAAAGTTGCAATAACTTGCTGCACAGTATTTTTAAAATAACAACATGCAACAAAACGTCTCCGAGCAATATTAATGTTTATTGATGTTTGCAGGTAAACCCCACACAAATGTCAAAGGTTAATATCTATAACATACTGGCTTGGGGAGATAAATCATTTTATTTCACTCAGTGATTTTTCAATCTAGGTATAGCTAAAGCTTTAGCAAAAAAGGAAATTCTCCTGATCCAGCACAGAAAAGAGCGTGATAGAAGTTCAAAGTAATATTCGCTTCCAATTTAAATGCAATCTGTATAGGAATCGCCTACAATATTATGGGAACAGTTTGGACATGCAGTGTATACCATGCCTGTATGAGACTTAATTTTTACTAATTACCCATGCATGAAGAAGAAAATAATATAAAATTCCTATCTCGTTGCCTGCGAGTTTTATTTTTCTCAGAACAACGGCTGAGCCACATATGAATATCGAACTATACTTTTCTTGGTTTTAATTTCTTACTTACCCCAGTACTGAAGACCGAAATATTTATATCCTTTCTTCATAGCCTGTTCCGCACAACGACAAACCATCTGAGGCATATAATTATGCCAGTCAAACCAATTGAGGTCGTGGCCATTGTAATATATACTGTGTTTGTCCCTCTCATTCGCCAACATCTCAGGTAGTGCCCTATCAACATCTCTGTCTTCATAACATCCAACTTTCTTGTATTCATATTCGCAGCCGCATGTTGCGTCCGATCCTGTACGGAAGATTAACAGTTTTATCAGATGTAGCCATGGTAAGAAAGTGTATGCATCTAACTTACATGGATTATGATATTTTCTGTTTTGGTGTGGTGTACTCAGGTGAATAAGATGCTTGTGATGTTACTCTGAGTGTATATCCACACCAGGCAGGCGTAAAAAATATGCCTGGCCACGGTGGGAATCGAACCTACGACCTTCGGAATATATAGCCCAATGCTCTGCCAACTGAGCTACGCGGTCAGGTCGCATGACATGACCGTGTGACTTGACCGCGTAGCTCATTTGGCAGAGCATTGGGCTAGTATTCCAAAGGTCGTAGGTTCGATTTCCACCGTGGCCAGGCATATTTTTTCAAGCCTGCCCGGTATGGATATACACTCAGAGTAACATCACAAGCATCGCACATGGATTATATTTTTACGTACAGTTACATAATAACCTTCCAAGGGGCAGCGGAACCACTGGGACATTGGGGGAAACCTCTGCTATCCTACGGGTATGTTTACGAGGGAAAGCGGCGGCGCACGTATATTTAAAGAGCTGATGCCTTTACAAAAGGTAATAATTAATTCCTTCTATCAACCTGAGATAAAATTTATACAGTCTATGAATTCGGAAATCAAACCCTAAATTTAAATTTTACAAGTTTGAGAGTGCATGAGATGCGTAACGGTGAGGAATCAGCTCGAGCTAATCGTTGTCGTTCGTCGTTGGTCCTCTTGGTGGACGATTGACGAAGAAAAGATTATGTAAACAGGTTCGGAAGAAATCATCAGATAAAAGTTTCGAGAAATCAAGCATTGGAAAAGCTCGGAGCGTGATCATGCATGCATATGTTATTTACCGGCTGCGAGGTCCGGATGAGAAATACTGCGCCCGAGGTCTTGAAAACGACCGAGGGCACAGTATTTCTCATCCGGACCGACGCTGCCGGTAAATAACGTGTTTATCTTGTATCAGATGTAAAAATTAAATTCATTTAAATTCCAGTGTTGCTTGCGAACTAATTTGGGGTCAGTGCAGTTGTGAATTTTCAAAGCGAGGCTGACAAAAATTAAAAAGTTGAAAGATATAAACAGGAATACGAAAACTCGAGAAAACTGGCAAGAAACACACAAAAAGACGTATGGTTTCATTAAAAATGTATATGTTTTTTCATGAATATGCAGAGAATGGCTGGCGCTTTGGATTTGACAAAATCAATTGCTCCTAACAACGACAGGTTCATGTTCCGATCCGATAAAAATGAATCTGTTTTGATTTAATCAAGAAAAAGGTATGTTATTTTTATATTTTTGTATTTTTTCTCGTCGTTGCGCGATAATGTGCCTGAAAAAAGTATTTTTAAACACAAACTTTTACTTTGTTTACAATATTTATATCAGTTTAAAATGCATGACAAAAATGAGTAGAGAATATATTCGTAACTTGTTTTCACTGCTGCAGTTAAAACTTCTTATAAATGGGAAAACATTTATTTTACAATATCTGTTAATCTGTAATTTTTTCGCTTTTAAGTGACCGAATACATGAGCATTATAATTTTCTCGACGTAAGTTTTTAATACATGTTAAATAACTTTCCGACTTTCAGTCGCATTTTTCTAAAAATATTGTCAATACTGGTGTACATCGTGCTTAAAATGGAGTCTTCAGGGCTTGATGCAATTCATTTTCGTATTCTGACTATCGTTAGGTTATGTTTTTCAAACGTTTTGGGCAGATTTTTTTCGTTTAAAGATTATTTCACTCCTCATTTTTTGTCGCGAAAACCAGAGCGGGCATTTGCATTTCACAGCGAGCAGTTGCGCTTCAGAGCAGGCAGGAGCAAAAATTAAAAACCGGCCCGCTCTGAAAGGCTCCTCAGCCAATCAGATTGCTTCATTTTCACTGATAAAAAATAAAGCGAAAGCCTTTATAATAGTAAATGAACAACAGACAGAGTGAGTGCAGTCTCTTCTGAAAATATCAATAAATCTAGAAGTTCATAGGAAAACTGCATCAATATAGCAGTTGCTATTATATACACGCGCACGCGAATGACGCAAGCAATTTACTATTAAATTATTTTATTTTGTTATTATAATTATTAAAAATCGTTATTATGACAAACGTTTTCAGCCTCTCTGCACATTTCTTCTTCTGAGTAATGCTGATTTAAATTTATTTTTAGGCATGTTTGGCAAGAACAGGTGAGATTTCGAGATTCTGCCCCGCTGCCCTGGGTTTTTCCGGTTCTCCTATATCCCTCATACCACATCTGTCTGTTCACAAGCACCGAGGATTGGGTTATAGGCTATATATACCCGGCCGCAGTAAGGAAATCCCTTTAAAAGTCCATTGCGACAGCACTGCTTTGTTTCCCACAACTAAAGTTGCTTATGCATTTGGTGCTTCGAATAATTGTGGGAGAGCGCAAAAAGAAATTTATTTCCAGATCTCACTTCGTTCTTGTACTTCTTAAGCACCCCCTGAGCTGGCATTCCGCTCTAGCGCATAAATTATTCGCAGCTTCAATTCCTATACAAGTACTTTCTGCATGAACCAATGCTCAGTAATTTCACTCTGTAGTTCTGCTTTCTCAAGAGAACTGCACCGGAATCGTAAGCCCGCCAGTTCAACTTCTGTCAGAGTGTTTGTGCATAGGAAAAGCCTTACCACAACTGTTCCTGATTAGGTGTATAAAAGAGTTGAAAATTACGTCTAGAAAGTTTCATCTACAGAACCCATCTAGACCATTTATAATGTACCATTAGTAATATCGAACTGGATGTCGAACGTTCTAAAACAATTAACATTTCATTTTAGTATAAATTTTGCATATCAAATGAGCTTTCGCGCGTTCTGATTGGCTAGTTGACTAGTAAATCTGACGCATTATTTACTAGCAGACTAGTAAATAATGCTTTTCAAAAAGAATTATTCAGCAAATTTGGTTTCAAAATCGACAAAAATATTGAAAAATCGTCCCAAAAAACGAAAAAGCACAAAATATTGTATTTAACTTGAAAGGTAGGATTTCTATTATTTTACTGTGTCAAACATTCAAAACTTATATAAAACTCCGAAACGTTTGCTTTAAACAAATAGCAAAAACTGTCCCGACTGTTGGGAAAAACCGTGATATTCTTTTTAAAACCATTTTGTTTTGCATCCTATAAATGTCTCAATTTGTACGATACTGTTTCTTTTGATATTTCGTGTTTTCATTGAGCTGTATGGTGTCTTGACGCTGTGTTGTACTATAATAATTGTGTTTTTTGAAACTTGTAAAGTGAAAAGTGTATTAATTTAAAACTTTCATATTTCAAACGATATGGTTTTACATTTCATTTTACCAAATTTCTCAGCCATTTCCTGAACAAATTAATGCTAAACAGGAACTATTTTTTAATTCTGGTGAAAAAGTCATTCCATCATTGTGTTTATTTTCTAAGCAGAAATCTAGAAAAACAAATTTGTAATAAAGCAATAAAGTTACACAGGAAGCCATTTTGAAAGCGTGCATGTACAAGAAACAGTGCGACACTAAAACATGCAGTAACTGTAAACCGGCCGAAAACAGATTTATTTCTGCATTTTAATTAAACTAATGGTTGGATAACTTGGATATTTTGTTTTATTCATTAAAAATTTATACTAAAACAATTATTCGCCTCAGGCTCAGTGATTACGATGAAAATTTACCTCGATTTCGTCTCGGTGAATATTCACAAGTAATCACTTCGCCTTCGGCGAATAATGGTTAAATATATCATAGTTGTCAGTATATCTCGGGTAGGAAATTTAAATTATCATATACATACCTTCAAAATATATCGGAAGAATGACGAGAAATATTGGAAGGATTTTCATTTTGTGTTATTTTCTAAAAGTATTTACAATTAAATAAAGATTAGTTTGCCGCCAATATTCATACCATATAACAAAAAGAATGGCCAATCCATTTTAGTGTACACTCAACCATGCATGGACCATTGCAATTACAGAAATCTGTTTTGCTTCTCAAACGTGAACCATATCACGTATAAGGGTGCATGGTTTTTGAAAATAGAAGGCGGAAAACTTTGTTTTGGAAAGGTTTTGATGGAATTTTGTCAAAAATCCGAAAACCAAAGAAAAAGATTTTAAAATATGATCCCAAGACGTTTGATGGTGGGAGAAAAATTTATACCGTATTTAAAAGAAATCCGCTCTTACTTGCCAAAAAAATGTGACACGAAGACAGGCGGAATTGCTGAGCACATCATACATTTGTGCATTTGCATATACTTGTAGCATTATCGTTGGGTTACAAGTTTTGGGTTACATTTTAGTGGAAGCATGCACAAAATGAATTAAGCGTACCTTCCTCATATTACGAGACGAGATTGGATCGTAATATAATATTGTTTACGATCTGTACAAGGTCGTCAACATGCAGCCATACAGGTAGTAACTATAACACACTGATCGTGAATATAGTTTACTATCGAACACCCTCAAAAGGACTGGCTTCATAGTTATCATCCGGATTATTCATCGTTGTTCATCGATTACAATAAAACCATACCAGGCACTGGTCGAATTCGTCCCGATCGGTACACAAGGCGCACATCGTAACGTTTTCGAGAATTCAAATACCCAACATTATCCAAATTAGAACAATTATATTACTATCCAAAAAATGTCCCCGGTTCATTCTCCCAAAAAATTAATACACTACTTCCCACATTTCATTATACAAGTGCTTTAAACCAAGCAATTTTATTTTATTTTATGAAATAACGCAAATTATAACTTGACTATCAAACAATTAATCAAGTTTTACCTGATGCAACATATGTCTTCTTCGTTTTCAGAAAATTGATATTAAATGTCCACGTTCCCTTTTATATAGCTCTTAAAGACAATATCAACTACAAAACAATAAGTTACTATAAGCAACTAATGTGTCTGCCCATTTCTACCAAAAATTTGTAGCTATATCACTTTCCCACTTATCAATTAAGTAGTTCAAACAAAACTACACAAGAATGCACGTGATCGTGAATTATATTAGCTTTTAAATTTCGTGCGGAAGCCATTTTTAGTTTGTCGGAAAAAATGTTTCGAGTTATAATCAGCATTAGTTGTAATCGCAGTGTACCATCTTTCGAGGGTTGATCTATGACGGTATAGTTTCCTTTGTCGATGATTTTGCTGTTTTCAAAATCTATCTTATGATCATTTGACAAAGAATGATTAGAGATGTTAGACCCGGCCTTGAATTGTTTATAACATTTCTCACATGTTCCTTTTTTCTGGTGTTGAAGGCTCCGCCTGTCTCACCGATGTTGTTCAATGGGCAGTCCGAGCAACTAATTTGATATACAACATTAGTTTAGTTTTCGGGAATTGGTCGGTCTTTTGGCGAAGTACTCAATACAAACAGTGCTCAATACCATATGGATAGAGCGTAATATAGTTTTTCGTTTTACCTCAAAAAACCACAACAGTCTGTTTCACCCATGTGTATATATATATATATATATATATATATATATATATATATATATATATATATATATATATATATTCATAACATATCTTATGGTAATTAATGCATCCAAAACATGAAACTTGTGTACCTGGGAGGATTATTTGTAATGCGGCCATGGAAACACTCGGCCAGTTTCTGGTCTCCAAGTGTACATGCGCTAATGGGTTTTTATACTTAAAGAAATATTTTCACGTTGCCACTTAAAGTGTTAATTGATCTGTAGATAGAAAATAGTGGTTTACCACCTGTGCATATTTAAATCGCTCGTTAACGACTCAAGGCCCAAACACAAGCTATATTATCTACTGAGTGTTACGATAAAGTTTTCTAAATTGCGAGGGAAAAACTGCATGTATATAAACAAATATCATTGCGTATTTAGATGTGCACGAAACTGCATTGTCGACGTATACGTAGTACCCCGAAGCACGGCTATCAAATTTTTTGTAAGGCGGATGTATAGGATATATATATATATATATATATATACATATATATATATATATATATATATATATATATATATATAAGGCGGATGTGTAGGATATATATATATATATATATATATATATATATATATATATATATATATATATATATATATATATATATATATATATATATATATATATATGCTGTTGAGGCGACCAGTGGAATATATGATAGTTTTGGAGTTGAAGCTGGTCTAAAATTCTTTTTAAAATACTAGAATATGTACAATAGACTTTTTATTGTACGTATTCTAGTATTTTAAAAAGAATTTTAGACCAGCTTCAACTCCAAAGGTAATTGTAGGTAATTGTCTCGTAATGCTTGGTGGGTGGTTTGAGTGTCTGTTGACGTACAATGGATCGTCATTGAGTTTCCTGTATGGTTTGTGTATATCCGGTTTCTTGTCTCCGAGTTGGTGTGAACCCAAAATTTTGCATAAAAAGATATTTCTCGTATAATGATTTTTTCAATTTAAAAAAGAATTCTATGGAGCATTTCTTAACGGAAAATTTCAGTAACGTCAGAAATCAATATTAAAAATATTCCCTTCTATTAAATTACACGGATGAAACAGACTTTTTGGTTTTTGAGGTAAAACGAAAAACTATATTGCGCTCTATCTATATGTTATTGAGCACTGTTCGTATTTCGTATATTTCGAAATTTTCGGCAAGTCTCGTCACAAAAACCGGTTTCGAATAAATAAGGTCATTAACAAAATCTAATGACCCAAGCATGCATTGTTTCGCCTAAGCGCTGTTTCGCCTAAGCATTAATTGTTTCGCCTAAGCATTGTTTCGCCTACACACATTCCGTGCATTCTATCGATAGCATAAAAGCAACCTATATTTTCGAAATTCCACACTACCTGATGTTTCCTATACGGATGAAACAGATATATATATATATATATATATATATATATATATATATATATATATATATATATATATATATATATATATATACATATATATATATATATATATATATATATATATATATATATATATATACATTCATGTAGCTTAGTAATACAGGGTGTATCAAAATAAACGCAATTCATCCTTTGTGCTTAATAACTTTCGAAATACTATTTCTAGTTAAACGCTTTTAGGCTTATTTCAAAGCCTGTTCTTTTCTCTTTCAAACAAACTATTATTCTTGTCTCCAATGCTAGTAATAATTGCACAGGAAAAGATTTAGTAAAACCTATAATTTTTAGTTGCTGTTTAATTATGCAAGTTTACTATGTTATTGTTTAGTCGGTTTAAATGTTAGAATTTTCTTCTTTAAACTTCAATGTTGTCGTCACTACATCTGGAAAACCACGTAAGAACAAATTAAAGTATTTTAAAAGAGACCAGGTTGTTTGAAAATCCTAAACGAATGCTAAAAATCATCAAAACATTCTGGTGTCTGAGCCAGAGTGTCATCGAATTGCGATGTAATGTAAACAGAAATTACAGCAAGTTGATGTCAGTCAGCTTAGATGGTCCAAGCCAAAATTATATCGCATTTGAAGTTTCAAACTGAGTTAAAAATAGTGGAAGAAAAGCCGTAATTATACTTATTGTTACAATCCATTTCATAAAATGCAACATTTTTTTGTTTTAATGAAAAAATCAGTTATTTTCATGAGAACGTTTAGTTATTCCATCTCAATTTTTTTAATCTCCAATCGCAATAACGTAAAGTATTATTACCCGCGAACCAATGAGTCAAATTTAAGAAACAACCCACTGTTAGAAAGCGGAATGGCTACGCTTTAAAATGAATGTAAACTTTAACGTTTTCGTCTATTATTTGTTTAGCAATTTACATTTCAGTCGAGGATTGCGCTTTTTTTGATACACCCTGTATATCTCGCAACACATTCATTTGCTACTCAAATTCTGACTTACCTCGTATAGAAGATTGCCGATTAGGGACCGGTCATTATTTATGGTGGGGGGTGGCACCGAAGAGAAAAGGGTTGGGTAAACAAAATTTTAAGTGAGTGAAAGGTTGGGTAAATGTAAAACAAAACAACTCAAGGGTTGGGTAATAAAAATTTATTGTCATTTCCAAAGCATAACTCACTGAAATATTGGAGACTAAAAAGCAATGTCAACAGTCATATGTCAATACAATATGTGAATCAATCAGAGTCACTATCTTGATCATTTTCCGATTTGTTGGGAGACAAATGGTGTCTCCAAAGAAAGTACATGTGCAGACAACGTGAAACTTTATACTGCAGAAAATTTCACAATCCGTTATCAAACTCATGTCACAGAAGTGGTAAGGGACTTAATTGTGTGACAACTGAATGGTATCTTTTTGTAATGTTTTTGACCAGGGGTGGGTATTTCTTTTTTAATTGATATTTGAGGTTGGGTAATCAAATATTTTACTTTTTAATGGTCGGGTCAGCAAAATTTTTGCCACGAAAAACATTTCTCTTCGGTGCCACCCCCCACCATAAATAATGACCGGTCCCTTAGTTGATATGCAATTCTGTATTTGAGTAATGTTATGTCTCCGTAACTCGTCAGTATATTAAAACGAAGATGCTCATTTACAATATATATAGTGCTTTTGACTTTTCATATAAAATACCATTACTACGAGTCACTATATAACTTTATTTACAGCAAGTTTTTGTTGTTTTTCCAAAACAAAGTAAATGCACATGGTGATATGTCATACAAATTGATAATTACCCGATACTTTCTGAATACATTACTTCTCTTAATCCCTTAATGGAATACCTTTACATGTCCAGGAAACAGTCTTTGTGTTTCAACACGGTTCAATGACTGTGACTCATCGCTTGATTTTCAAAGTTGCAGTATAATTCGCTAAAGCCGAATTGAAGAGCTCAGACTAATATCACTATCTGACTAATAAAATGAGCTATCGATCGCTTACTCATCAACCAAAACGTATGAATTCGTTTTTTCGAAAAAGATATAAAACCACGCGCATTTTGCCAACTGGAATGTTAAAAGAGTACTGGGTTTAAACCAAACGTTACACGAAGGTGCGAAAGTATAGAGGTTGAATACGAAAAGGAACTTTACGAAGCACAAATTCTGAAACGTCACGGTAAGTTTAATAATAGAAATAGTAGTAGAACTTTATTTATCCACGCTGACCCCGTCAACCGTAGCTGATTTCCACGGGGGGCGTGTGCCAGAAAATTATTTTACACGCAGAATATGATAAGGATAAGCTAAGCTATTACAGTAATATATAAATTTAAAAGATATAACAAATGTTTTGAGCTATTTACAGGTAAGTTTTATTTACAAAGGTTACCAAGCACTAATGTGAGCAGCGATTTTATTTCGAAAGGAAGAAAGTGACTTGCTTTCCCTAATTTCTTTTGGTATAGAATTCCAAATGTTTGCTCCGTCGTACATAAAACTATTTTTCATGCTATTTGTACGTGGTTTTGGTAAATAAAGACCACTTGAGACATCCCGAAGGTGGTAATTAGTTTTCTCACTCTTAAACGAAAATAGATTTGTGAGGGATTTTGGGCCCATTTTGTTTAATAACTTATACATCATTCTTGCTTTAGTTTTCTTCCTTTCAGTTTGGAGTGGCTCCCAGCCCAAAGTACGTAAAGCAACCGTATAATCTACGTCATTGCTTATATTCAGAATAATTCTTGCCGCTCTATTTTGCAGTTTTAGCAGTCGTTTTGATTGAGTTTCGCCAAATACATCCCATACTTCACAGCAGTAGTCAAAATACGGACGAACAATAGTGTTATATATCAAAATAAGTGTATCTTGATCAACAAATGGTTTGATCCGACGAATAGCAGAGATTCCTGCTGTAACTTTTTTGCAAATATTTTCGGTATTACTTTTCCAAGATAAATGCTGGTCAATTGTTACTCCTAGAGTTTTGCATTCATGAACTTGTTTAATTTGTATATTTTCAATGTAAACATTTGGGCAAGAATCAGAAATATTTTTTATCATAGGTTTAGAGCCAATCAACATAAACTCTGTCTTAGCTACATTGAGGCTAAGTTTATTGGCTATTAACCATTTTCTAAGGTTCTCTAAATCAGAATTTACTGCAGTCTCTAGGTCAGTCATAGAATTTGCTGAAGCAGTCAAATTTGTGTCATCAGCAAACAAACCGCGGTTTGGTTTTGTTTAGACAATGTGGCAAATCCTTGATGTACAACAAAAAGAATAATGGCCCTAATATAGAGCCTTGTGATACACCACATTTAATCAAGCGCTCAGATGAAAATGAGTTTTTTATTTGGCACTTCTGGTTTCTGTTTGTGAGATAGGATTTGAGCAAAATTAGAGCTTGTCCTTTTATTCCATAGAGCTCTAATTTGTTCAGCAGAATTTGATGATCAACAGTATCAAAGGCTTTCTTCAAATCAATTAAAACTACTAGGTTAAACATTTTTCTGTCTAGATTTACATACCAATCATTAGTACAGTCTAGTAGTGCATTAGCTGTAGAGTGAAATTTTCGAAATCCAAATTGGAAATCACTGAGAAGCTCAAATTTTGTTAAATAGTTATACAGTTGATCATACAATATCCGTTCCATAATTTTACTAATGGCCGGTAAAACTGATATTGGTCTGTAGTTTCCAGGAATACTACGCTGGCCATTTTTATATAGGGGCATCACTCTAGCAACCTTCCATTCATCAGGAAAAGAAGATAAAGTAATAGCCTGATTGAAAATAAGTGTCAGTGAATCTGAGATAACAGGTGCAGCTAATTTAATAATTTTGGAAGAGATTTTATCAATGCCAGTGGCTTTATTGTTGGAAAGTCCATGCAAAAGATGAGAGACATGACTGACAGTAATGACAGACTGTATTGCGCTCTCAATTTTAACAAACACTAAGTATATTACTCTAGAAGATAGTACTGCAAATGTATAGGGACGTTTTGGGCGGTTAACGCACATAACTGTACATGTTACCACATGTTACCATCATGTTACCATTTTTCCTCTATTCATTTCTATATATAATGAACATGTTACCACATGTTACCATCTATTTTATAAAATAGTATATATTATATTTTATAAAAAATAGTGATAACATGTGGTAACATGTTCAATATATATAGAAATCAATAATGGAAAATGGTAACATGATGGTAACATGTATATAGTAACATGTATGAAACCTATGATAAATCGATGCAAACGCGCGTATTAGAAATGTCAACAGGTTTTTAACTGTTTCCCAAAGTATATTAAGACTGTCGTGTTGTTTTTTCAAGTTTTTTGCTATGTTACAATTGCGTATGACAATGAAAGCCTTGTTGTTAGTGCCTTTCAATACAATATGTGCCCGGTGATGTGGCAATAAATGGTTCGTTGGAAAGAGAAAGCTTCAAATACAGCGGCCGTAAACAATTCTATGGTGGAAAATATTGGAAGATCGAATGGGCCATATGTTATTAGGTATAGGAACGCCGTGGTTTCTACTATGAATTTTGTCTATCGCCTCTGCGCGCTATTTTACTTACGATAAAATTACGATATGAAAAATTCAAATTTCCCGCGCTAATAGTTAATTATTAACCTTAATATAAACCAACTTGAAGACGGTATTTTCGCAAATTAAAACGTTTAGACCGACATTATAGCGATTAATCACTTTACGGTGCTATTGATAGCAATTTGACAAAATCTATTGAATGTAGCTCACTTTGTATATATAACCTAGACAATCACGTGCAAAAATAATGAGACTTTACGTATTTCAAACATATTTTTTTCATTTTGACACATCTACACTCATATAAGTCGATCTTTTCTTACTATTTCCCCCCTCCCCCATATTGACAATGTTGGGTGAATGTTTTCAGCCAACACTGTGGTTTGGTATCATGAACACAACATTGTTTTGGGGGGAAGTAGGGGGCAAATAGGATGTCTCAACATTTTTTGCTCCTGATCGGTAGGTCCAAGGCAAAAACTATGGGTTTAACTCAGAATTACATTCTAGACGCAGCAACATGTTCATGCAAGTGCAGTCAATCTAATGAAGCGGTTTTTGTCTTCAAAGAATCAATACAGAGCGAATTTTCTGCAATACCCGGATAAATTGTCAATAGCAATTCAGTTGGTAACGCGTCGTCGCCGGAAAGCGTTTAATATTTTTATTCCTTCTCGACGCAGAATTGAGTTTCTCCAGAAAAATATCACACAGTTGAATGTCGAGTTCAAATAATCGAGTAACAAAACTTGTCTATCGTACAACGACGTTTTTGACGCTAAACGTAAAGCTGAAGCTATAATTTGCGGACAGGAACAAAAGAAAAAACAGGCAACCACCAAACAACATGTAGAAATATTTTTAAGTTTTAAGAATTGTTTTTTCCTTTTTCCATCAATCGTCGTTCCTGTCTTTGGAGCAACCCTTTTATCCTTGCGTTTTGACTTCGCGATTGTAAATATTTTGTAATTTGAATAAATGAACAAGAATAGGAGCAATGGAAAATATACAGCTATAGCAACATTAGCAATTATTTTAGAATTAACATGTATAAATGCGGATAGACTCACTGGTATAATCGCAAATATTGCTTGAAAATATATAACCCTTGTTTTTGTGACGGTTGCTTGATGGAAAAATGGACACGTTAGGGCTAGGAATCGTTCAGCATTCAGCGTAAAGAGCGCAAACAACGAGCAACCATATAAAATATAAAATATGGACACCCTTGTGGTCTCGCGTATTTCATTCATTTCATCTTGGGAAAAATAAAGTGTTGATACGATCAGGAATGGATGAGTAATAGTGACTACAGCCAGATCAAAACAAGATAAAACGAGAATCATAAAGTAGCATAGTTTCTTTCGAAGTTGTGACGACCTCCATAGACTGATTATAACCACAGAATTTAGGAATATTCCTGCAACCATAAAGACTATATTTATAATGCACAGTAATACGACGCTAAAAATATCACTTTTTGGCATATTGAAGACTATAGTCTTGCTTGGATGCACTTTCGTGTCCGTTTCTTCTTATAATTATCGTATGTACATTTTAGTTAAACTGAATATCACCTGTTGTTATATACACATGTTTAAAACAAAATAATGACATATTTTGTCGCTTTGAAGGACTTTAGTAAGTGCAGGGCGCCTTTGGATGGTTTTTGTTAATGCAAATTGTGAGCGAAAATTATATACATATTTTAGACCTGACTATAGAAGTCGCTGCGACCTCGGTGTTCCAACCACCCCACCTTTTCCCCGGCGTATGGGCTTCACCCTATGAGGTCCGCGCGTTGCTCGGGGATTAACACGAACATTTGTGGGGGCTAATGGCCATATAGGCCAAGGACAAATGAATTAAATTTTGGATCGATTTGGATGAAAATTGGATGAGAAATTAACAAAACTTTTATCTTGCTTTTCCGGGCGGAGTAAACTGAATGCGTAATTAGTCCATCTGTCCATTGTATAATTTATGTATGATATTTTTACTTAATTCACTTAATTCACTGGTGGTGGCACATGCGGTTTCTGGCACTCTTTATAGTTAATACTTAATCCTTATAGCATAAACTTAACATAAACTTTTACATTGAATCTTAAACTGTTAAACATACATAGCCCTAATCTATTTCAAAAAAGTTACCCTAAAATATTTACACCCTCTATATTCTGTGACGAGTATAAAGCATTTTCTAGCCAAACTGCATTAACACAACAGCCAGAAAAGGAGGCGGACATCTTCTTATTGCCAAATTTGTCGGACACATTGCACTGATATAATACGACAACTGTTTATAATTAAATTTTTAATTTTAAAGTTTCTTGCTAAGTGTGTAATGGCGAACTGAGAATGCCTCAAATAACATAATATTCTTAATCACCCTCATACTTACATGTATATTACTTGTATATTACTTGTATTATTTTGTAAAATAGTTAGTGTCAAATTTCAATTTTTCTGTGTGCCGATTGGTCAAAACCGTGTCACGTGCTAATCCACAAAACGTCATATGTTCGGCAACCGGTCCGTAATGAAACATTTATTTACCGGTCAATAATAAAATGGGTGCAATACGCATGCTTGTCAAACATGAACTTCTAAAGTTCATTTTTTAAACTTTTTACCAAACATTTACGGTGTTCCATTTATCCAGTTTTGGTTTCAAATTAAGTTCACTCCAATAACCGGTGAATTATTCATACTTTGACACTTATATACTATATAACAAAACACTTATTTACTGAGACCTCGGGAAAGCAGTGTGTTTTGTGGCCCCTCGAGCAACAACGGCGGCCTCGGGTCCACAAAACACACTGTTTCCCTCGGTCTCAGTAAATAAGTGATAAATACTACATGTTGTATATATTACTTTCCTAATAAACCCATTGGAAAATTAACCATCCAATGTTGATGGCCATGCATGTTTTTTTAGAACGATCAAATACATAAGAGAATTTGGAATTATAATTTCGGTCGTCTAGGACCGAGGCAGAAACTACCGATATAACGGGTGAGTTTAACTGAGAATTATACATTCTAGATATCCATAACATGTTCATGCAAGTACACTGAGTCTAATAAAGCGTTTTTTGTCTTTAAATAATTTTAATTCTTAATTAAATTTAATTCTTAATTAATTTTAATTCTTAATTTTAATTCTTAATTTTTAATTCTGTATTGAAATACAGAGCGAATTTTCCACAATACCCGGATAGATTGTTAATAGCAGTTAGTAAGGCGTCGTTCGAAAGCGTTTATAATATCTTCATTCCTTCTCGACGCAGAATTGAATTTCTCCAGAAAAATATCGCGCAGTTGAATGTCGAGTTCAAAAAGACAAACGTGCTTGACCACAGATTAAACAAGAAAACGTGCCTATCAAACAATGGCGTTTCTGATGCTAAACGTAAAGCGGAATTTACAATTTGTGGGCACAAACAAAAGAAAAAAACAGCCAACTGCCAAAGAACACGTAGAAATACTTTTGAGATTTAAGATTCGTGTTTTCCTATTTTCATCCATTTCTGTATTTGGAACAACCCATTCGTTCTCACGTTTTGACTTCGCGATTTTAAAAATTTTGTAATTTGAATAAATGAA